GCTATATAAAATATAGAATTCAACGTGTGCAAAAATCTTTTCTCAAGTAAAAGAGAAACGGCAAATTTACCAAAAATATCTAAAGACGGGGGAAATTATAATAATCTTTACTTAGAAAACAAAAAACCCATTCTATTAGACTACAAAAAAAAAAAAAAAGAAACTTGTTCACTTAATAAATAAATAGTTGCAGAACTTATTTTTACGTCGGGACGAAAGAGTTATTTTAATTTACTTGCATTTTAACAAAACTGAAAGATTTAAAACTAAATAACTTTATCATTTCTAAACCAAAACGTCGTCCTCAAACAAATTATTGTAGTACAACCTTTTCTTAAAAAAATAACATCTACATGTACGTATATAATATTTATTTTCATGGGTGGGTTTTTATTCTTCAAAACCTACATAAAATCATTTCTGGCGTTTTTTGGACGAAGTTTTTTAACGATTTTTTTCCGCGATAAAATGTCACGTGACAAAACGCCCTAATAATAGCAAAATGCAAAAAAGTCCTTCAATTTTCTATAGTCTTTATAAACAAAAACCAGAGTACAAATATTTATTGGGTACAAATAGTACCCTGTTAGAGCCTTCATGCAAAAATAAGCTTGAACAATTCAAAACGACTTATCGTGCACCTCATATCTGAAATAAGTTTTTACTAATTAATTTAAATAATATGGATTTAAAAAACTTAAATTGCTTTAAAAAAACTATTAAAAAGAGTATTTTAAAGTATGCAAATTTAGTTAGTGATTTTTTTTAAATTTATTTATATATATATATATATAAATAAATTTAAAAAAAATAAATATATAAAAAAAAAATATATATATATATATATATATATATATATATATATATATATATATATATATATATATATATATATATATATATATATATATATATATATATATATATATATATATATATATATATATATTCTTTTATTTTCTAATAACGACCATTATATTTATGTATAAATTTATTATTATATATTTGTATTTGAAATATTGTAACGAAATGGTTATTTTACATGTAATAAAAGAACAATATATATATATATATATATATATATATATATATATATATATATATATATATATATATATATATATATATATATATATATATATATATATATATATATATATATATATATATATATATATATATATATATATCACAGTCAACTTTAGTAATTTCAGAAAAAAATTCACTATTTATAAATGCTTTTCTGGCGGTGTTGCCGTCATTCGTATTTCCAAACCCAGTTTTAGGAATATCAACGTATAGGCTTAACCGTTCTCTGAAGATTACCTGAATCTTTTTTTTTTTAAGTCTGCAGATAATTTTTCTTCAATTGTTTTTGGCTTATACTTTTTAATTTCAATTTTATAACTCAAATGAAGAATGAACTCCAAGCATTTTATCCAGCAATGCAAAGCTGAAATTCCGAGCCCCAAGGCCGAGTCATTCTCAGTTTTTGCTTTTAATAAAACAATATTGTTCATTTCCTTGGGTTTAGCATTGCACACATTGCAGGATTGAGTGGAGTTTGTCTCTGTAAGTGCGCTAACTACTTTATTATCAAACATCAATCCTAAGATCAATCCTATAGCTGATATTAAATATCAAAATTCTTACTGCAAAATTAAAAACTTAGCAAAACGTCTTTAAGGTATTTATTTGGTTTTTTAGATCTGATTCTTCTTCTCTGGATAAAATTGGACTCTCTTTTTTGTATTGTAGAGGAAGAGGTCTACAAAAGTGACAGCTTGAAGTATTTTCATTTTTCCAAATTTCGCCATCTTCTACTTTGAGCAATAAAGGCACAAAAACTGTACTGAAAAGATTTTCTTCATGTTTAAGTTCTACACTTGCATTGCTTGTATCGTATTTCTGTTTATAAATACTTTAGCTGAATGCTCCATCAAAACCAATCTTTCCATATAAAACTCCAAATATTTCATCACTTTGACCAAAATTAGGCATATCAATCTTTTCTGTTACTCTACTCACAGTGTGATCTAACATGCTTTGAAGAGTACACTTTGCAGAAATTTCGGAAAAATGTATATTCTTAGGATAGCATTTCAATTTTTCCACGAAAATATCGTGCAAGGTGGGATAAATATGTACGTTGTGTACAAAAGCTGATTTTCTGATCATTTGATATTGTTTATCGCTGAGATCAGTATTCATTTTTAATGCAAGAGCATCCTCTACACTCACGTTAATAAGAAAGGTTTTATCCAAAGTTATCAACTTTTTCTATCTCTAAAACATTAGATATATTGTTTTTTAAAACAGAGGCTTTTTTTTTTCTCCTGCAGTATTTGCACTTTTTGCAGAAGCTAAAAATAGAGCTTCATGATGTTCAGTGGCTAGTTCTTTTATTTTTTTTCTTTTGCTTCTCTCTCCAAGAACACTCCAATGTTTATGGGGCCTTCCAGAATCAAAATGGCTACTTTTATTGTTCATAAGATTTCTTTGAAGCCAACGATTTTCTTTTTGTATAAATGTATTATAGTTTCGTCCACATTGTTTTAGTTTTTTCTTCACCTTTGAAATAAATATAACTAAAGCAAGCTTAACTTTATATAAGTTTTCTTTGCGAATTTTTTTAGTATTTTTTTGATTAAGTAAATCCTTCCATAATTTTAATTTATCAACTCCTAATTCACGTATATTTGGGATAAGATCTTTTTTTCATTGTTATCGTTTTTAAGAACCATTAATATAATAAAACTAATATATTAGACACATTTTAAATTACATTACCCACTTTTTTACTTTACACTGTTTCAAATTTTATCTTGTTATGACTTTTAACAATTTTCACATTGTTACATGCTGTAATAACACAATAAGTGTTATTACAGGATGTAACAATTTGGTTTTTCTTAAAACGGGAAACACCAAAGTTGTTCAGTTAAGCTTTTTCAAACATGTTGTATTTATCAAATAAGAAATCGTTCTTTAAAATTTTCAACAAATATTTTAACAAACTTTTAAATAGTATACAATGACAAAAGCACGTTTTTTAAAACTATATTTAATATTTACGATTTAAAAACTATTTTAGAACAAGTTCTTCAAGCAAGAAACTTAACTTTAAGTTTCCCACCAATTTCATTTGTTTTGATATAATAAAGTTCTTAGCAAAATGGCGGAAAACAAGGCTTTTATAAAATCATCAACATTTGTTTTTCTTTAATAACTTCCAATACCCCAGGAGACCGCAGTAATCTTTTACATTCCTTAAGTATAAATGTTAATTAACTGGAAAATATATGTATTTGTGGAACTCAGTGGAACATTTTTTTAGCTGATATATAAACAAAAAAAATACAATTGTTTTGCTACATTTTTTAAGAGATGTTTTTAAATTTAAACGAAAAAATCAGACTTTTTTTTTCTTTTTAGTATATTTGAAATATATAGTGTCAAAATATTATTTTAAAAATAAATATACACTTTTATTTTTAAACTTCAAGTTCTCTAATTTAGTTGAATAAAAACCTCACATTTTTCAGATTTCTTTCAAAATAATATCAAATTTTTTCACTTCTTTTACCTATAAAATACAAAATAAAAGCTTTATGAAAAAATTATTTTTACTTTTGAAATAAAAAATCATCGTCTTTTAATATCATCTAACAAAGGGCACTTTATAACAATTTATAAAAAAGTGGTGAGGGTTTTTTTTATAAAATTGAATACGACGCAATCAATGTAATAAAAAAAGTGTTAATGGATATTAAAAAACATGCGAATTATGTTTAAAAAAAAAGCACTATGGGGTCTTCCATAAAGTACGTCACGCTACTAGGGGGGGGGGGGGAGGCATAAGTTTGTGACAATTTGTGACAAGGGGGGAGGGGGGAGTTTGACGAATGTGACATCACAAAAATTATTTATCATGATTATTTTCTACTTATTTACTCATTCAATTAAAGGAGTATTTATAAGGAGTAAGTTTAATTTGTAATTTGAAAAACATAAGGTTCAAATAAAAAAACTATTTTTATTTTATTTTATGATGACAATCTTTCCCAATAAATTAAGAAGGTATTTCAAATTAGTTAAATTGAGTCTTTTTTATTCTGTTAAATAGCTATTACTATGTTTTTAGAATGTTGAAAATTCCGTAATGGTTTGTTTTTTTTTTTTAGAGGGAGGGGGGGGGAGAAACATGTGACATACTTTTTTAGGGGGGGGTGCAGAAATATGTGACAGTTTGTGACAGGAGGGGGGGAGGGGGTTGAAAATTGAAAAAAATAGCGTGACATACTTTATGGACGACCCCTATAACAATATTAAAGTTCTCAATTATGTTTCTACGATACGATTTTTAACGCTACACAAAAGAACTGAAAATAAATGTCATAACACGTTTATACAACCATTTCTAGAGTTTAGTATGGGTTTTCTTTTTTTTTTTTCCTCTTTCTCGTGGAATTGCCCATGATTCCTGATGAACCTACTGATAGTGAAAAATGATGTTGAAGAGCACAAAAATTAGATAAGTGTTTTTACTAAATTATATATATATATATATATATATATATATATATATATATATATATATATATATACATATACATATACATATACATATACATATATATATATATATATATATATATATATATATATATATATATATATATATATATATATATATATATATATATATATATATATATATATATATATATATATATATATATATATATATATATATATATATATATATATATATATATATATATATGGGCAGTTTTACGAGAAAGGGATTTACCCATATATATATATATATATATATATATATATATCACCGCAAAATATAATAAATAGGAATGAGGAATGAATAAAACACATTCTATTTTTTGGAACGCAACTCACTCATTTCAATTATCAGTTGAATTGCACCATATAAATTAGTTTAAAAATAAATAGCATAGAAATAAATATAAAACAACAATAAAGAAATATAAAATAAAGAAAATAAAAAAAATATATACAACTTTTTTTGTCCAAAATAAAATTCGTTGATATTAAGAAATTTCACATCAACGAACATTGAGAAATAGATTTTTGTACTCCAGTATTTAGCATATTAGTATTTGGAGTATTTAGCGCTTTCATACCTTCCTCTTTTAAAATTTCTTTTCGAGTATTTTCTACTTCACTGAATATTTTATCTGCGAGCTCGAACTCTTTTTTATGATATAAACACAATGCAATCCAGTATTTGGTATACAGTGTATCTTCATGTTTCTCTCCTAAAACTTCTTTTTGGATATTTTCTACTTTTCTAAATATTTGTTCCGCGTCGTCAAAATTTTTTTGATCGTATAAACATCTCGCAATACCATACTTGGTATTTAGGGTATTTACATGTTCCTCTCCAAAAATGTCACTTTGCATAATTTCTATTTCTTTAAATATTTTTTCTGCGTGATGAATTTGTTGTTTATAGTATAAGCACATTGCAATCCAGTATTTACTTTTTACTGCATCTTCATATTTTTCTCCATAATCTTCTCTTTGAACATTTTCGATTTCTCTAAATAATTTTTCCGCATCATCTAATTGGTGTTTGTCATACAAACACATTGCAATCCAGAATTGAGTTTTCAGCGTTTCTTGGTGTGTTTCTCCTAAGACGCGTTGTTGCATAATTTCTGCTTCTCTGAATAACTTTTCTGCGATATCAACTTGTTCTTCTTTATATAAACACATTGCAATCCAGTACTTAGTTTTCAGTGCATCCCGATGTTTCTCACCTAAAACTTCTTTTTGGATGCTTTCAACTTCTGTAAAAATTTTCTTTGCATTTTCATATTGTTTCTTATCGTATAAGCAACTTGCTTCTTCAAAGCTTTTAGTTATTTTTTTACTGATTTTCTCAAAGAGCGTTTTCATACTATTATACTCAAGTTCTTTATCGTGTTCTTCAATTTTTTCAGTAAAATATTTTTCAGCTATAATATCAGCATATTCAAGGGCCAGATTTGTTTCAATGGCCGGATTTGTTTCAAGGACCGGATTTGTTTCATTCCATTTTTTCATTAAATCCATTGATATTTTTAGATCATTAAATGTTGTTTGGGATTCGAAGAAACTTTGAACAAACAATTTTCTATCATCGTTTTCTGAAAAAAAACAAAATTAACGAATTTTAATCACTTTATATATATATAAAAAATAATTTGAAAAAAAAAAATTATTTTTAATGCTTTTTTGATATACTGAAAAAGATACGAAATAAATTTAATATTGTGAAAGGATAGAAGTATATTACATTAGAATTAAAAATTAAAGAATAACTAATAATAAAAATGGAATAAGACAAGACAAAACAGGTCACCTGAGTTAAATGAAATTATTTTATTATTTTTTATATTTATAACTTATGCGTGTAAATATTTTATTATATTTATAGTTATTAATTGTAATTAATATCAAATATTTATCGAAAAAGACAATAATACCTAGCAAAACCTAGCTTTATGGTAACCTAGCAATAACAATCTATATTACAACTGATTAATAAAAATCAACTGACCAATCAAGTAATAGAAACTAACTAAACAAGTTATGGAAGTAAACTAACTAATCAAATAGCAGAAATCAATTAATCAAGTAATAAAAACTAACTAACCAAACAAGTAATAGAAGTAACCAGCTAATCTAATAGAAATCAACCAATAGATAAATCAATCTAATAGAAATCAATCAATAGATAAATCAATTTATCTGAAATTAACCAACTAATCAAGTAATAGAAATTAATAATCAAGCAAGTAATAGAAATCATATATACAAAACCTATACAAAAACTGAACCATTGGACAGAGGGCTAAGGCAAAAAGATTAAAATAAAAGGTCATATTTTGAAGGCTAAAGTCATTTGCATTCATCAAGTCAGGTTGCAGCAGTCAAGGTAGCTACTACAAACTAATACCTTAGTTGAAAGAATGAATATCAAAATTATTGCATGTTGTCAAACGTTGTCTAGCACATATTGAAAATGCTATATATGTTTTGTTGTACTCTCCCCCTTCTTTCTACGCTTTTTATTGTAAAGCACTTTTTTCTGCAAAACATAACCATATACAAACACCAACCAAAACCTCTATCACAAAGGGTTTGCATCTTTCTCTAGTCAAACACTACATAACTAACCAGATTACAGCAGATAACACACTAGTGGTCCGAGCTTAAATTTCAAAAATTTTTGCTTTGATAAGAATACTTATTGCGGCTATGTATCCAAAACACCCTTTTCAAAATATAAAAACAATCTATACTTAAATTGTTCTTACACCATACCTTTATGTTTAAAAAACAAAAAAATTTATAACACACTAATTTTAAGTATTTAAACTACTTGATTTCACAATTTTCTAGCTCAATAAAATAATCCAAAAATAGGTGAATGATATTTAAAAACATAAAATTGTTCAGATCTCTTGTTGAAATTAAATAACATTAGCTAGCGAAAAACACTTTATTGAAAACCTTGCTCTTTCAGCCAACCTTCAACCATTGTCACATTTTCATAATGTTGCTTTATTTTTTCTTTTCTATAAATGCTATAAGAGCGCTGTTCTAAAGAGCTAGCTTCTCTTGTGCTATAAACTAAAATTCATTCTAGTGTTACTCGTAATTCAATTGTCTCATCCTTTTACTGTGACTGTTCCTAAGTGCTTCAAAAATTCTTATTCAACTTTTATTTTTTTCTCAAACATTAGTTCTTTCGAATTTGCTCCTTTCATCTTGTTTTCCTGATTTATATATATATTACAATCTTTGAAGTCCCTTGTTATTCGTTGTTTTGCTTAATAAAATTTATCTTTTCTTTTCAGTAACTTCCAACTCTAATAGTGGTTGATTGCGGCCTTGTTAGAAGTAAAAATGTTAAAAAAAAAAATAAATATAAAAAAAAAAAAAGAAGAATTTGACTTTTTTTTTAAACATTTTCGCTTCCAACAAGGCTGCAAGCAACCACTAATTAGTGTTGGAAGTTACTGGAAGAGAAAAGATGAAGATTGTAGAGCAAGATAACGATTGACAGACGACTTAAAAGATTGCAAATTATATGATTCAGGAAAGCAAGATGAAGGAAGCGAATTCCAAAGAACTGATGTTCGAGGAAAAAAACTAGACGAATAAGAGTTTTTGGAACACTTAGGAACAGTAACAAAAAAAGGATGAGACTTAATTGAATGACGAGTAACACGAGAATGAATTTTTGTAGATGGCACAAGAGACGCTAGCTCTTTAGAGCAATGCCCATTATAGTATTTGTAGAAAAGAGAAATAAAAGCAACATTACGACGATGTGACAGAGGTTGAAGGTTGCAAGATTAGGTCCAACTATGTTTACAATGCGTTTTTGAACCTTGTCTTAAAGAGAAAGGGCATCATTAGAAGATCCAACCCAGATATGGCAACAGTATTCCATACAAGGCCGGATTTGAGATTTATAGAGATAGAGGATAGAATTCAGAGTAAGAAAGTGACGAGCTCGATAAAGAGAAGCGACTTTAGCAGATGCTAATTTTGCAACGGATTTGATATAAGGTTTCTAAGAAAGATCAGAAGAGTTAATCCTAGAAGATGAAGGGTAGGAGACTCATCGAGTACATTACCGTTCATAAATATAGGAAGGTCTAAATTATTGCGATAACGATTGGCTGAAAAAAATTGAGTTTTATCTGAATTAAATTTCACCAGCCACTGTGAGCCCCATACTGTAGCAGAAGTGAGATCTTTTTCAAGCCCTGCAAGCAATCAGAGGGAGTTGGCTTCTTATCGTAACAAGAATAAATGGTAGTATCATCAGCGAACAATGCCACCTTATATGTGCCACTTTAGTAAATATTAAGAAAATTAAGCGTACAATCAATCGAAAAATATGCAAAAGCTATTTTTAAATTACCTAAAATTATTTGAAGCCAAATATTCTCTTGAACAGATTCTTTCAAGTTACTTATTAAATTCAATACATTTAACTTTTTTCCATACCCTATTCCACATACAATTGGTAAACACGTTTTCAACCATTTGTTTTCGAATACTGTTTGAGGATTTCCATATAAACACAAATAAACAGAAGCACAAAATCTCATAAGGATAAAATGAGTGAACTTGTATTGTTGAGTGAGATTTGATTTGTTTATGAAACCAATCCATTCCAATCCTTGATTATCAAGTACAGCTTCAAGTTCATTTCTCAAAGCTGTAAGTTTACCTTTTTCTAACATAATATATGCAACTTTGCTTATCTTTAGGATGTACAATTGGTTAGACTGCATCATTTCAATTAAAGATACATTAGTTGATAAGCTTTTTTGTTGCAAAAAGTAATAAAAAATCAACATTTGCAGCTCAGTCAATGTTTTTACAGTTTGAATCATCAGATTCAATAATGATGAACACACTGCTTTAAGGTAAAGAGGAACAGAAAGTAACAATTTTGCTTCAAAAGATGATGACGAAATTTTGTTTAAATCATTTTTTAGAGTATTAGTAACTAGATTATTTTCTATATAAAATTGCATTCCTTGGTAACTTAATCCCATTATTTCAATTATGTTTTCTTTAGTTTTATTTGAATTCCAGTATGTACCTATAGTTTGAGTTCTTCCTGCAAGAACACATTTAATTTCATTTGAACAAATTATATTATTCAATGTGTTTGCTATTGGAATATTACAAGATTTACCTAACTTGTAATATAGCAAGCTTTTAATGTGAATAAATTCATCTAATCCATCAAGTATCATAGTTATTGACCATTGTGATGAAATTTCTTGTGTCTTCAAAATATTTCCATAAAAATTATATATTAGTTTGTTTATACATGAAATGTTTTGATAATCATTTATCTTTTTTAATGAAAAATAAAAAACAAAATCTGTATTTTCCCAAATTAATCCATTAGCCCAAAGAAGTAGACACTTCTTGAGAAAATATGTTTTACCAATTCCAGCAACACCAGAAATCAAAAGTAATGGCTTCTCTTGCTTGAAAATATTTTCTAAAGTCACTGTTTTATAGACTCTGCTCTTGTTAATAAAATCTTGCCACTCATTACAATCATCATTATTTTTACATTCACTTTTATTCACTTGAACAAAATTAAAATGATTTGTAAAAAAATTTGTTTCAATGTGATTTAATCGCCCTTTATTTTCTTGTTTGTGATTGGTTTGATAACTTTTTTCTTGTTTGTAATTTGTTTGTTGAAAAGCTCCATAAGTTTTGATGTAATGCAACTTTAACTGTTTAATTGCCACTAAAAAAAAGCAAATAATCAAACAATAAAAAAATATAATATATAATTATTTAAACTATTTATTATTAATATAACTTATTATTTACGCATTATATCAAATAACTAAATTAGTCATCAATTAAATAATGTAGAAATCTAAACATGTAGGAGAAAATACAATTAAAAAAACCATACACAAAACATGGTTTATTAATGAATTAATTAATGCTTACAAAAGATATTAAGGCCAAACTCTCAACAAAATCACAAAATATTATTGATGCAAACAGTTATGATAAAATAAATGAAAAACAAGACTAAAACAAAAATCAGATAATTATATTGCAATTAAAAATAGATTCGAAATTTTAAACAAAATATTTAAAATTAAATAAAACTTTACAATAGTCCAAGAGTAAAACTCCAAAAAACTACTAATTGTGGGAAAAAATGTTTATAAAGCTGAAACTTTGCCTAGTGATTCCCTAAAGTGTACGATCACGTTGAAAAACGCCATATGATTCGCAACAGGAGAACTCCTTTAGGGCAATGTTCCAAAATGACGCATGCGCAAATAGTTATAAAATTTTATAATCAAACATAGACTTACTAAACATCATTTTAAAGCATTTTTGATGATGAACAACCCTTCAAATAACACTAAGGTCTTAAACATTAAGGTCTTAAAATAACACTAAGGTCTTAAAATGAAAGTGCGGCTAGTTATTTAACAAACAAATGCTAAATATTAAAATAATAATTAATTACTAATAAGAAATAAAAAACGTTTTTTTTTTTTTAATGTGCTACAAATAGTTATGTGTAAAAAATTTAATTGCCGTATTTAAAAAAACTATTTTCAAATAGTTTTTTAAATACGGCAAATAATCTACAAGTTATATACCATTATTGTTCATGTGCCTAAAATCCTATTTCTAATGCTGGGCAATTTCATGTGAAAGCATTCTACTTTTTTATAAAATGCAACCCTAAGTCTTAGATTTTGCTGATTTTTGCAACACTTAAAAAATTTTATAAGTTATGAACATTTCTAAAATTTTATCATCTAATTCCAAACGGTTTCAAAGATATGACTCTTTAAACTTTGCCTTGAACCAACAAAAATCTGCCATTTTGAAAACAGGATTTGGTCATTGTTTCTGCTCTGTGTGCAATCGAAAGCTAAATATATGTACACTTGCATATTTTGATGCAAGGAATCCAATAAAACAACTTAAAATATTTTAAAATAAATAATCACAATTTTACTGGGGCGAGTTTAATTACAAAAATCCTAATGTAGCTCGATTTTCTATTTGTAGATGTTGTTTCGAATAGTTTAGTTAGAGTTATTACAAAGAATTGGAGAGTGGTTTTTTTTTAAACAGAAAAAAAAATGGTCAAATTTACTTGAATTTGTTACTTAAAAAACAGGAATTATGAAAAATGAAAGAAAAAAAAGGTTGTACTCTTAAGTGCCTAATAAACAACATTGATGTTTAATAATATGAAAAAAAAAATGTTCCATCTACCCTAAAACGTGGCAAAACGATTTCTTCCTAGTTTTTAGTATTTAAAAGCTCTGAAAATATAAAAAAGATTATGGACTAATAATGGAAAAAAACTTTTAGTTTTTGAACAAGCAATCTTTAGGTATAATCCAGCTTAAAAAATATAATTTCTAAGTTATTAAATCTGTTTTTTCTTTTTTTTTTGGAAGATCATAAGTCAACCAACATATTTAGAGCTTTTGGACACCAGAGACCAGGTAAAATAAGAGATTTGAAGCCAGAGTCCTTTCGAAAATCCGCATCCCTGATTTTACTTGTTGAGAACAAAAAAATCTCAAACCTAAACCAAAAAATAATTTTTATTAATTATTTTCTAATTTCTGAGACCATTCAGGTCATAAAAATTAGAAAATATAAACTCATTTATTGAATTAAAAATAAAAATTTCTAACCTCTTGTTTCTTAATGACCCGTTTCTCCCAGCTCCCCCTTCCTATCTCCCCTCATTTATTACATGTGAAAAAAAACTTGATTCAAAGAGTTTAACAAGTTAATAAGGCTAAATTTTGTTTGATTATTTGACCAGTATGTTTTACAATCAATTCTCTTCCTTTATTTACAATTTTCTCCGCAACTCTAAAAACAATTAAAAAAGATAGCACACTATTAGAAACATCACCTTCTGAATTACCAATAACATTTACCACTATTGCAGTGCATTGCCTAACTGGAAGTCCCTTGCTAATTGCTGTAAGAACTTTTTTTTTTTAATTTTAGTTAAAAAAACAAAGGTAGATTGTTTATATTTGTTATGATATTCTAATGATTATTACATTCTGACTATAAATTAGGTTGTAGGCCCTATTTTATAAACTATTAAATTCCAAATTAAATAAAATAATAAATGCTCCATCATATAAAACACATTGTGCTCCATCATATAAAACACATTTAATAGATTGTTTTATAAAATAAATTTACAGATCAATAAAATACTTTTTTCATGATTTTTTATTCAATTTATTTTAATCCTACCAGCTTCTTCAACGTCATCACTGCCATCTGGCGGCCAGAGTGGAAACCAAGACCTCTTAAGTAATTCTTGAACTCTTTTGTTCTATTTTTTATTGATTTTCATTTTTTAAAAACTTATGAAATTTTTTTCTTTATAAAGTATAGGCTTGTCTAGGAGTGATTTTTCGGTTTGGCGCCAAAGTCACCCTGGGACTAAATGAAAAAGGGCTTTCCGTATTTGGGCCCAGAATGGAGGTAAAGATCTGCCTCATTTTAATTACAAACCTCCTGGTGGCAGAAGGGATGGCAGATAAATCAGGAATCGTTTATATATGTTTCTTTTCGGAAACATATATAAACATAGTATATTTTTGGAAAGAAGAAGAGTTAAACTTGTTTTTTATGTTATTTTTACGTATGGTTGTCATACCATTTTTTGGAGCATTTGGCTCATGAAAAATAGGTTGGTGTTTACTTGTCAAATTCCTGTTGAAGAACTCTTTATTCCACTTTTTTGATTCTTTAAATAAGTTTTTACATGCATTTTCTTTGCACATACTAAATTTTATCGAAAAATATTATGTAGCAGATAGTAAAATCACTTTAGCATTTTTGGTAACTAATTTCTGTTTTTCCAATTTTTTTTAGCGGATTTCCCGCCTCATTTTTTTGAGTAGGGTTAGGCAAACAGTTTTTTGTTGTTTTTTTTTTCAGAAACATATATACACATAGTATATTTTCAGAAAAAAGAAGAGTTAGGCTAGTTTTTTGTGTTATTTTTTTATATGATTGTCATACCTTTTTTTCGACTATTTTGGTCATGAAAATTATGTTGATGTTTACTTGTTAAATTATTGTTGAAGAAATCTATATCCCGCTTTTTTGATTTTTTAAATAAGTTTCTACATGCATTTTCTTTGCACCTGCCAAATTTCATGAAAAAATATTATGTAGCAATTAGTTAAATCAGTTAAACACTTTTGGTACCTATTTTCTGTTTTCAAAAATAGCCGAGGTGGGGCTGGGGGGGAGAGATTTTTGTTTTCTTTAAAAATGTTTATTGCATATTGTTTCACTTAGATTGTTAGTAGTTTAAAAAATGAATGATATAAATGAACTGGGTAATCAAACAGATAGTAGGTTCATATGTTTTTTTTATACTAAAACTAATGTTTATTACTTTTACAAGTATTTCTTGTAAAACTTTTAAAAATAGACTAGATAATATTCAATATTTCTATTATTCAATACTTTTTACCTATTCAATACCTATTTTTAAGTAACCCCTAATTTTCGTTATTTACGCCTTTATTTTATTTGTTATTAACACAGTATTATTATTATATTATAGTTGTAGCCATAAAATATACATACCATATATACATACAGCGAGCAGGGAAAACACCCTACTATAAACAACCAGTTTTATAGATATTCGTTCCGAATTTTATCCTCAACCAGTTATCTAATCTAATTTTAAAAGAAAGCACAGTGGAGTATAAAGTTACTTGCTCAGATAGTTCGGGTCCAGTATTTTGCTGATCTATTATATAGTTGGTTGTGTCTTGGAAGACAGATTGGAACATATTCACATCTTATTTTAAGATGGTGACCACGTGACAATGAGTTAATAAATTTTGGTTGATACATATTATTAATTATGCCAAATCGATGTATTAGTTTAAAAATTTGTATTAGATCGCATCGTAGGCGCCGAAACTCAAGTGACAGTAAGTTTAGTCTTTTAAGTCTTTCATAGTATTGAAGATTTCTCAAGTTTAAAGCCCATTCTGTTGCTTTATGTTAAACAGATTCAACCAAAGCCAAGTCAGTTTTTAAATACGGGGCCCAAACAGACACTGCATATTCCAGGTGTGGTCTTATAAACACTTTATATAATTTGAGAGCCATTTTTTCAACAACAATGGTGAATGTCCTTTTTCTCCTAAATCGTGCCCTTTAGCAGAGCTTCTTAGACTTTCATTTATACCTTGGTTATTTTTTTTAAAGTAGCTATGCATAGGATTGGTTTTACCATATTGGATAACACAGCATTTTGAAATGTTTAATTTAGGTAACCAAGTGTTCGACCACTTGTATACTAAGCGTAGAAGGTCCTGCAGATCTACGAAATTAGTCTGCGATGAAGTTTTTAAAAAAAGTTTAGTATCATCTGCAAATACTTCAGAAGTTTCTGTAAGTTGGGCAAGATTGTTTGTAAAAAGAATAAAGAGGAGCGGGCCAAGAACAGAACCTTGAGGAACACCACTAAGAACATCAACCCAGTCAGAGCTAGTATTGTTAATTGTATTGCGTTGCTTTCTGCCTACTAAGAAGAAATGAATCCATTGTAGTAGTTTGCCTTTTATTCCAAACGATTTTATTTTAAACATGAGTCTGGTGTGAGGTACGGAATCAAAAGCTTTAGCAAAGTCGAGGTAGATTACATCTATAAACTGGTGCAATGCTAAGGAAGACGAAAAAATATCAAAAGTC